CGCTCGGCGAAGTCCACGGCGCGCAGACGCGCGGCGCCCTTTCGGTGCTTCACATGCGCACGGAACACGGACCCGGCGCCCTTCCTCTGCCCACGGATCACGCGGCCCATCGCGGCGGTCTGGGGGCGGCTCATGGTCAGCGGCCGGGCGGCCCAGGCACCCCCACCACCCCGGCTTCAGGGCTCCCGCTCCCCCGGCTCCTCCCTCCAGGTCTCGGCACCCTCCGCGCCCCCCTCCCCGGCCGTGCGACCTGGCGCCTTCTGCAGAGCCGGCTGGGGTCCCTCACGGGCCCTAGGGCACCGCATGGCGCCTAGATGGCACCGGATAGCACCAGGCGGCACCAACACGTCCTACCTGCTGCCGGGCACTGCCGAAAGAGGAGACGCGGCCCTTGAGAGCCGCCTTATCTTCCGGGGCGGGGCCGAGAGCCCTTAACCTTCCGGCCAGGAGCGGCGGCCGCCACCGCAAGGCACGCCGGGACTTGTAGTCCTCTCGCGGGGCCTCAGCGCAGGCGAACTGAGGTGGTTGGTCCCGCAGGGCGCAGAGGCTCCGGTGGTTTGGCGGGGATGCTGCTCTCCCGCCGCGGGGCCGTCGAGTGGGCGGGCAAGCCTACCAGAAAGGGAGCCTCCAGTAGGGCACATCTTTCGGGCAGGGGGCTTCTGGAGAAGTGGGAGGGGTCCTTCCAGAGAGGATCCCTGGAATTAGCAGAAGAGGCGGTGGATCCCCTGAGTGAGACCTGTCAGTAGGCGCGGACAGAGAGAGCTTAGTGACCAGGGCAGTGGGTGTGCAGCTGACGCCTGAGGAGTGAGAGCCAGCGAGGTAGGGAGAGAGTGAGGGCAGGGGTCTCAGGGAGCAGAGGGGCTTGCACTCAGGGCTCTGGGGTGGTGTGTTTGCACCAGTGCGGGCAGGTGGGTTTTGCAGGGGTGGAGGCCAGAGAGACATCAGGAGAAGGTGACAGGAGAGGGAAGGAAGGGTCCATGTGGCCACATGCTGAAGCCACAGGGCAGCACGAGGCGCCCGGAGAGACAGCCGACTCTTGGCAGAGATAGCTCATCCGGAGGCAGCACAGCCTACAGCAGGGCCAGGAGCTGAGGGGCACCGGGGCCGCCCTGGGGCAGAGTGACGGGCTCTGGGGTCAGCTCGGGATAGGCCTGGAAGACCAGAAGGGCAGAGGAAGAGTGGGATGGAGGTGGGGACAGTGCTTGGACTTGTGGGCTGTGGGGTCCCTAGGATGGAGTATGGGGGGGCGGCCCTGAGAGAGGCAAGATGGAAACACCACAGACCCTGCCTTCAAGGGACTCCGGTCCAAGTGGGAAAAAAGTTGAGTACAGGGCAGGAGTCAGACGGGAGCAGGTGTGCCAAGGCCTCTCTGTGCTGGGCACAGGCCTGTCACCCGCAGCCCCTGCTGCCCACTTCCTCAGGCCCCCTCCGGCACCTCGTTCATTTTGCTCTCAGGACCCCAAGCCCCTGACCTCCTCAGGTAACACTTCCCTGGGGGACTCAGGGAACTTATGCTTCTGTTCAGGGCTTGGGGTCTCCTGGTTCCTCCTGCCAGCTTTTGAGTCAAGCAAGGCTAAATCCAAAAGGTGATCCTGGAGGTAGCAAAGGAACCTTAGAGCAAGGCTTTGGTACAAACCAACCAATCCAGAGCCCACACTCCCAGCTATCTCCTTTATGAGACTCACACCCCACACCAATGTTTCCCTGCCCTACATCACCCCAGCACCAGGTATGGGACAACTAGAGACCAACCATAACTTGATAACTTGCAGCCTGCTGAAATTATTCAAACACATGATCCTCAGCTTACTCAGCATGCCTGCTCTGCCTTGCCCATTCTTTCCTGCGGAAACCCCAGTGAAGGCTCTGGACCACACCTTCCCTCCCCTCTTTTGCCTCCTCACCAACCTAGTGCTTCCCTGTGTGGCCCCGTGTGGTGTGCCCTGCCTCCCATTCCAGAGACCCGTAAGTATAAATGTCTTCCTTCACTTCCGACTCTGCATGTCTTACCATCCCCGATTAAAAGAAACCCGAGGTACATTTTAGCACACCATGAGGTTCCTGAGTGCTCAGGGATGGTGATGGCCTTCAGGGGCTCTGTCTGTTCTGGTTCATTGAAAGTGTTATTGCTCTGGGCCATCTACTAGACTACAGAAAATCTAGTAGATGGCCCAGACTGGCCTTGGAAACACAGCTCTTTGAAAATAATTTTTCTTTTGGCCGCACAGCTTGCGGGATCATAATTCCCTGACCAGGGATTGAGCCTGCACCCTTGGCCATGAAAACGTGGAATCCTAAGCACTGGACCGCCAGGGAATTCCCAAAAATAATTTTTAAACTGGGCTTTTCCCCTGGGAACACTTACAGCTTGGAATCCCAATCGCAGGCTGGAAATAGCTGGAAAGTAATCTGGGTTGGGCCAGAGAAAGGTCACTGTGACCATTTGGGGAACCATGCAGGCCCCTGACATTTTCAAAAAAATATTTATTATTTTTTAAATAATCTTTTAAAATTAATTAATTTATTTATTTATTGGCTGCATTGGGTCTTCGTTGCTGCGCACAGGCTTTCTCTAGTTGTGGCGAGTGGAGGCTACTCTTCGTTGCACTGCGCGGTCTTCTCATTGCGGTGGCTTCTCTTGTTGCGGAGCACAGGCTTTAGACGTGCGGGCTTCAGCAGTTGTGGCACACCGGCTCAGTAGTTGTGGCTCGTGGGCTCTAGAGCGCAGGCTCAGCAGTTGTGGCACACGGGCTTAGTTGCTCCGCGGCGTGTGGGATCTTCCCGGACCAGGGCTCGAACCCGTGTCCCCTGCATTGGCAGGCGGAGTTTTAACCACTGCACCACCAGGGAAGTCCCTAAATATTTATTATTTATTTATTTATTTAGGCTGCTCCGGGTCTTAGCTGCTCGTGAAATCTTTTTTTAGCTGCGGCATGCGGGATCTAGTTCCCTGACCAGGGATGGAACCCCGGCCCCCTGCATCGGGATCACGGAGTCTTAGCCACTGGACAACGAGGGAAGTTCCCCAGGCCCCTTACTGTTAATAGTCTGTTTGCTCAGGATGATGGGACTCAGCCACGGAGGCCCTGGAATGGCCTGCAGTGGGTAGAAGCAGTCTCCTTCACCCCACTCCCAGGCAGCACCCTCAGTGCCCTGGTACCTGCACCTCCCACACTGCCCAGATGTCTGCTGGGTGGACACTCTGGGCCAGGCTTTCGTGGTGGCTGAGATGGCTCTGTCCTCAGGGTCCACAGACCCAAGCATCAGCCCTGGCTCCCCCTCTTGCTCCCTGGGTCATCCTTACCTTGAGGGGGCCAGGCTAGGGCCCAGGTTTGCCAGCCCCTCCTAGCTCTAGATGGAGCAGTGTGAAGACCCTCCAGCAGGAAGTCTCCCAGTAAGTAGATCAGGACAACCAGTGAGCTCAGGGTACCTGAGCGCTTGGCTGGCGATTAAGGTTAGGAAGCAGGCATATTCCCAGCCCTTTCCCATTCTCCATTCCTTCCTTTATTCATACTTTGCACAGATGCTCTCTGAGCGTGAGCAGGGAGGATGTGGGGACGGGAGAGTTGAGTTCGAGCTGGGAGGTGTGGGGTGGGAGCGCCGGGACCATGCCGCACAGGGGCCCAGGGAGAGGAGCTAGTTCCTCCGAGTGTACTTGCTTTTCCCTTCCACCTCCCCTAGGAGTCGGTCCGGGAGCTGATTCTGACCATTTCCTTACTTTGGTTTGCACCAATTTCACAGTGGCTTTGCTTGGGACCCCGGGATTTGGATCATCGACAAGTCGGGTGTCAGGGCCCTCCCCGCGAAAAGCTCTGCGCACCCTTCCCCCGCCCTTCCCTCTCCAGGGCTGTCCAGTGTGAAGAGCTCCAGGGATCGGGGCCGCACAAAGCTGAGGCCTCCGAAGACGCAGGCAGCGTCCTCCCCAGGGCTGCAGGGACCTGGGGAGGCTCCTGCTGAGTCCCAAAGAAGTTGGGGTGCCCGCCCCTACACACAGGACAGCGTGGATCTGGGAGAACACCCAGAACAGGTGGCCCCGGGGGCCACACGAAGTTGGGGATGGGTGGGGGCGCAGCGAGGAGAAGCCTTGACCTGACCTCGGGGCGCGCCGCCCTTCGCCTGGGGTCCCACCCCATCCGGTCTCTCGGCAGGTCCTGGGCTGTCCTGCTGCCCCGAGCCCCGCGATGCACCCACGGACCCCAGCCCGGAGTCCCGGTTGACGACCCTCCCCTGGGCCTCTCCTTCTCCTGGTGGACCTCACCCTTTCTGGGGCCCTCCCAGCCTCATCTCTGAGCTGTCGGTGCCCCGCCGCACTGCGGTGACCTCCGCCTGGACCATCTGCCCCACCAGGTGCAGAACACCTGCTCTTTGCACACGGCTCTTCTGCGCCCCCAGCAGGCCGTTGCCCCGCACCCCGTACCCCCTCCACCCCGGACACGGCCTGGGTGGGGGTGTCTCCGTAGTCCTGGGGCCTCGAACGTGCCCAGCGGGTGCGTTCTGCTATGGAAAAACCAGCACATAGAACCGGTGCGGGGACCAGCGCCCTCGGACTGGTGACCGGAGGTGCGCGGGATCGTCCCTGGCGAACTTCAGGCTCTCCGCCCGCTTCGCCCGGGTCCGCTCCCCGCCCCCAGGCCAAGAGACACAGGGCCCAGACCCACGCCTTTCCTGGGCCCCGGCTCCGCCCTCCCCGTACTGTGACCCCGCCCTTTACCGGACTCCGCCCCGCCCTCTCCGGGCTCCATCCTTTCCCCAGCGATCTGGCCCCGCCCGTTCGCCGGCTCCGAGGCGGGGGCGGGGGCCGTCTGGGAACCACCGAGTTGGCCGAGCCTCCGAACCGCCCAGAACGGCCGGAAGGCTGCGGGGCGGAGCGGCCGCGGGCGGCCGAGGCCCATTTCCGGCGTCGTCCCGCGGGTGGGTCCTCGAGCGGCCCCTGGGAGGGTGAGTCGATGCAACCCGCGCGGATTAGTGTCGGGGCGCCGCACGTGCTCTTCGCCCTCGGGCGGAGAAGCCGCCTACCAGCCCCAGCGTCCTCCCGCCTCCGACTCTGCAGGCCCCGCGCTCCCCGGCCTCTCCACGGGAAGCGCGGGTGGCGCGGGCGGCTCTCTAGAGCCCGTGGGCGCCTGGCGGGGCGGTGGCCGAGCCTCGGCCGTCTTGCCCGGCAGAGGTGGGAGGCGGGAGGGGGAGTCCCGCAGATCCGGCCTCACGGCAGCCTCGTAACCTTCCCGCCGGTTCTAGGCCTGCTCCAGGGGCATCCTTACTTATCCTGCCTGCATAATCATCTCCCTCTAGGGCCCTCTTTTTCCCTCCCTCACTGCCCGTCGAAGGCCTAGACTTAGTGAGGGTGGCAAAAAGGGCTGTACCTTGGGGGAGTAAGATATGTATTTTCTCTGAATTCTGGTTGCCGCTAAGGGCCTGCGATTCTCTACAGGGGACCCAGGATACAGCACTGGCCAGGCCCGGGTGGGGACCCACCTGACAGTGGTCACTGCTGCCTTAGCCTTGCTGCCCTCACGGCCTGGGGCTTCGGCCCTCAAGCCGATTTGAGAGCCAAAAGCTCCCTTAGGAAGCCCGCTTCTCATTCTGACCTCCCAGAGAGATGCCTGGGGAGGGGCCAAGTTTATATACTGGGGTTGGGGTGGGGTCCTGTGCCCACTCCTCTTGTCCCTGCAGTCCATCCTTCCGGTTCCTGTCTATTCGAGCTTCCAGTCGCATCATGCTTCCTCTTACGGCCCCACAGGCTCATTCAGCCCCGGTTTTTCCTGCCTCATGCCTTTTGCACACGTTGTTCCTGCTGCCTGCAGTGCCCTCCCCACCTCCATTACCTTAGCCAAGTTAGCACCTAGGGGAAGTGACCCATCAGACTAAGTCAGAATTTCCTCGTTTAAGTGCTTTCAGAGTTTCTTGTGCTTCGGTGCTATTATCACAGCTGTAATTTTACATTTGTTTTTGTGGTCACTTAACTCTCTTCTCCAGTAGACTGCTCCGTGAACGCAAAGTCTGTGTGTACTGTTCACTACTGCATCCCCATTGCTTGGTTGAGCACCTGGCACCCGTGGCAACCACCCATTACATGTTTGTGGAGTGATTCATACATACTACACACTCTGAAAGATGAATGGAGCTTCGGGGGGCAGGTACTCAGGTGCCATGGCGACTTTGGCCCCGCCCCAAGTCCCTGCCAGAGAACACCTGGGGTTGGAGGTAAAGGATGGGGGAACGCAGTACCACGCCCCTCGGTTAGCCTGGAAGTCAGGGGTTGGGGCCTCCAGGATACTGATCTCTGACCTTTTCGTAACTTCCAGCAGGTCTCTGGGCCGGGACACGCGGATCCCCACCCACGCAGACGCATGGTAGGAGTCTGACTTCCCCCGTTCCCTCCCTCGTCCTGGGAGGACCCCTTCCTCCTCCTTTGGGCACCCTCCCTGCCCACTGGGCCTGGACCTAGACCCTCCCTTGGCTCCACACTGTGACCCTTGCCGGTCTCCGGCATGCCCATTGCCAAGGTAGTGAGCAAACACCTGCCCAGACCGGGCCCTGCCTGAGGCTCTCAGGGGAAGGTTGTATATCACCGTAGTCTGGGTCCCTCCCCCTTCTCCATACTGTCCCTCCCCTTGATTTTCTTTTCTTTTATTATTATTACTGTTTTGGCCACACTGCGTGGCTTGCAGGATCTCAGTTCCCTGACCAGGGATCTAACCTATGCCCCCTGCAGTGGAAGTGCGGAGTCCTAACCATAGGACCTCCAGGGAATTCCGTCCTCCCCTTGATTTTAGAGCCATAGGGGCCTGGTGACTGTCTCACCCAACCTTGTGGTCCATGTGCCTGAGACACGCAGGGGTCCCTGGGGGACTGGTGTGTGTCCTTTCAGGAGGCTGTGACGTTTGGTGATGTGGCTGTGCACTTCTCACGGGAGGAATGGCAGTGTCTGGACCCTGGCCAGAGGGCCCTCTACAAGGAGGTGATGCTCGAGAACCACAGCAGTGTGGCCGGACTAGGTGAGGCTTCATCTGGACACCCTTAGCCCCTGCGTCATCGGTCAGCACCCACCTAGCCAGGCCTCTGTTATATATATTTATTTATTTATTGTTTTATTTTATTTATTTTTGGTTGTATTCAGTCTTCGTTGCTGTGTGCAGGCTTCTCATGTGGTGGCTTCTCTTGTTGCGGAGCATGGGCTCTAGGCGTGTGGGCTTCAGTAGCTGTGGCACGCGGGCTCAGTAGTTGTGGGTCACAGGCTCCAGAGCGCAAGCTCAGTAGCTGTGGCGCAGGGGCTTAGTTGCTCCACGGCATGTGGGATCTTCCCGGACCAGGGCTTGAACCCATGTCCCCTGCACTGGCAGGTGGATTCTTAACCACTGCGCCACCAGGGAAGCCCTGAGAACCCTTTTTTATCTTTGTCCACACACTGAGCCATTTCCCCAGCACTAAACAATCCATCCTTTCCAGTTGATTTGTAGAGCTGCCTTTTTCATATGTGTGATGGTGTGTTTCTGAGCTCTGGTCTGTTATGGGGCAGCTCTCTGCTTTTTGTTAGGTTGTTCTGTTATTAGTATTACTTTTTATTGCTTTGGCTTGTGGCATGTTAATACCTGGTGGGGCAGCTCTCGCTCTTTATTCTTTTTAAAATTTCACTTACTTACTCACGGCTAACAGAGTAGTTCTTTCGTGTAAGTTTAGAATAAGTTTGAGTTCCTTGAAAATTGCACTGGAATTTTTATAGGGGAGTGGTTTGAATTTGTAGATCGTGTGAGGAGAACTGGCACCTTTCTGTTAACTGTTCCCACCCAAGACCGTGCATTGTGTCTCCATTTATCTACTTACCTCTGCAGACGTTATTAGAGTGTGGGCATTTCCTCCACAGTGGTCTGGTGTTTGATCTTCAGTTTAGGTTGTTTTGTGAATGTATCATTGTTATATTTCTAGCTGATTATTGCTGCTATAGATGCTCTTGATTTTGGAGGATAGACCTTGTATTTGGCCACTTCATTGGACTCCCTGCTAGTTCTGGTATCATGTTCTAAGGAGGGGCCTGCAAATGAAAGCTTGGTGTTTTCCCTCCTGGCCCCCATGTGTCCTGATCTTTAGCAATGGCCAGAGCGCCCGTGCTGTTAGGAGTGCTGTGGGCATGCTTGTTTTGTTCTGATTTTAAAGGGAATGCATGTAACTAAGGACAGAAGTTGGCTGAAGAGTTTTGGTGTTTTGTTTTTTTGTTTTTTGTTTTTGGCTGCGTTGCCGTGCGTGGGCTTCCTCTAGTTGCGGCGAGTGGGGGTACTCTTTGTTGCAGTGTGCGGGCTTCTCATTGTAGTGGCTTCTATTGTTGCGGAGCACAGGCTCTAGGCGCGCGGGCTTCGGTAGTTGTGGCTCACAGGCTCTAGAGTGCACACTCAGTAGTTGTGGTGCACCGGCTTAGTTGCCCCACGGCATGTAGGATCTTCCCGGAGCAGGGATAGAACCCGTGTTCACTGCATTGGCAGGTGGGTATTTCAAATTCTTTTCCTACATTAATTGAGATGTCCACATGTTTTTTTTTTTTCCTTAGCCTGTTAGTCTAATAAGTTACATTGGCATATTTCCTTATATTCCTGGAATAAACTCTACTTAAGTCATGATATTTACATATGCATTCTGATAACCTTTTGGACTCAGGTAGTCAGTATTGTATTTTGGATTTTTGCATCCCTGTTCCTAAGCCAATGGACTTGTATGGTTTTTTGTTTGTTTTTTCTTTTTTGGTGAATTGTCATTATATAGTTTGACATTTTTTGCATATAAGTTTCATAAAATGAGCTGGGAAGCTTTTGCTGTCTTTCTTAATTTCTGGAAGAATTTATATAGATGGAATTAATTGAACCTTCAAGTTTTTGGTTGAACTCACCTGTAAAACCACCTGGGCCTTGGGCCCTTGGGGAAGGAAGGTCTTTGACTAGAATTTACGTTTTATTAATGCCTCATGGTCTATCAAGCTTACGGATTTTCCCCTGTGCCAATTTTGTCATTTCTAGTTTTTGTACAGATAGATCTACTCATTCAGATTTTCAATTTTTTTAGTATTTGTTCGTAATACTCTTTATTTTTAATCTCTATTATGTTTGTGTTTGTTTCCCTTGTTTGTTTTATTTTTTGGCAGCATCTTTTCACTGTGTTGACTTATTTTTTTTAAAAAATATTTATGTTGGCTGCACTGGGTCTTTGTTGCAGCACACAGGATCTTTTCGTTGTGGCATGTGGACTCTTAGTTGCAGCATGCGGACTTCGTAGGTGTGGCATGCATGTGGGATCTAGTTCCCCCACCAAGGATGGAACCCAGGCCCCCTGCACTGGGAGCGCAGAGTCTTACCCACTGGACCACCAGGGAAGTCCCTGTGATTGGTTTTGCCACAAGACTATGCTTTTTATCTTTTTGAAGAACCAGCTTTTGGGTTTTTTTGGGGGGAGGGGGTGCTCTTTCATTGAATCTTGCCCACTTTTGTTATTTTCTCCCTTTTTATTTATTTGTGTTTGCTGTGTTGTTTTGTTTACAACTCCTTTAATTTAATATTTACCTTTTCTGTGTTTATCATTCTTGTTTCTTTTTTTTAAAATAAATATATTTTTTAATTTTAATTTTATTTCTGGCTGCATTGGGTCTTTGTTGCTGCGCGCAAGATTTCCCTGGCTGCGGTGAACGGAGCTACTCTTCGTTGCGGTGCATGGGCTTCTCACTGTGGTGGCTTCTCTTGTTACGGAGCACGGCTCTAAGCATACAGGCTTCAGTAGTTGTGGCACACGGGCTCAGTAGTTGTGGCTCGCAGGCTCTAGAGCACAGGCTCAGTAGTTGTGGTGCACGGGCTTAGTTGCTCCACGGCATGTGGGATCTTCCCGGACCAGGGCTCGAACCCGTGTCCCCTGCACTGGCAGGTGGCTTCTTAACCGCTGCACCACCAGGGAAGCCCCCAATCATTCTTGTTTCTGGTCAACATATTTTAAAATGTGAAATTTTATCTGTAAGTACTGCTTCAGTTGTGCCCTACAAATTTTGACTTATAGTAAATACAATTTACTTACAGTAAATACCACTTAGTAATTCATCATTTAGTTTTCAGGTAGCTAATAGTTTTGAGCTACTTGTTGTGGTGGCTGTCATGTCCAGTTGCATTTAGATCAGGCGCAGTCTGTGGTATTATTCTGTGGCCTGTGCCTGACCCCCTTCCTGGCTGGCCCAGGGATGCTTCTCTGTGAGCATTGCACATGTGCTTGGTAAGAACACCTGTTTCATGTTGACTGTGGGTCAACTCAGGGTCCTGCCATCACCTGAGACTTCGACCTAGGCTCTCTCTGCCTGCCCTTCTCCATCCACACGGCTGGAAACCTGAGGTGTGCTCCAGCCAGAGGGCTTGGCCAGCCCTTGGATGGGCTGGGAGCACATCATACGGCTGGCCCACAGCATGGGGGCTGGCGGCCCCAGAAGGCAGGTGCCAGGTGGGTGCCCGCAGCTCTCCACCCCTCTGCCGAGGCCCCCCAGGGCTTTATGTGAGGACTCGAGCCTGGGGCTTCTGGGTGACCATTGGACTTCACACCTGATTTTTTTTTTAAATTTATTTTATTTTATTTTTTGGCGGCACCACGCAACATGTGGGATCTTAGTTCCCAGACCAGGAAATCAAACCCGTGCCCCCTGCGTTGGAAGCACGGAGTCTTTTTTTTTTTTTTTTTTTTTTTTGCAGTACGGAGGCCTCTTACTGTTGTGGCCTCTCCCGTTGCTGAGCACAGGCTCCGGACGCGCAGGCTCAGCGGCCATGGCTCACGGGCCCAGCCACTCCACAGCATGCGGGATCATCCCGGACTGGGGCATGAACCGGTGTCCCCTGCATCGGCAGGTGGACTCTCAACCACTGCGCCACCAGGGGAGCCCAGCACGGAGTCTTAACCACTGGACTGCCACGGAAGTCCTCACACCTTCTGATTTAAAATCCATTTTGTTTGTTGATTTGTCGTTGTTGTTTGTCTTGTTTTTTAACCACGTCAACCTCTTGGAGTGTCCTTGCTTTCGGAACTGAGGGACTGAGGGAAGTGCTGGCAGTGCCTGGCTTCTCTCCGCCTGGGCTAGAGCTGGCCTGTACTAGGCAGATTCGCGTGACAGGGCTCCCTGGGGATCCTGGCCCTGTGTGGATGGAGACAGGGACAGGCTGGGAGTCCAGGAGTTCCTCTGTGTCCAGCCTCAGGAGGCGACAGACCTGGACAGAGAGGGCCCCTGTGCCCCAGTAGCCCCCAGCCCTTCACTCCTGGGAACAAGGGAGGGCTGAGCTGCACTCCCAGCCACACCAATGCCATCTCCTCCTCTGCCGCCTCCACAGCAGGATTCCTGGTCTTCAAGCCTGAGCTGATCTCCCGGCTGGAACAGGGGCAGGAGCCATGGGTCCTCGACCTGCAAGGAGCGGAGGGGAGAGAGGCAGCCAGGACCTCCCAGGCAGGTGAGGCTTCCGGGCACAGGGTGAGAGGGCTGCGGGCGGGAGGCTGGAGGCAGACCCCAGGTGCCACCCACGTGGGCTTGCTGGGCTGCCTGGGAATGCCATGGGGTGGGTCCGGAAGTGTAGACCGGTGGTGGGGCAGCCTCAGGAGAGACTGAACTACAGAAAAGCAAGGGCACAAAACACCCATGCATTATGGCAAAAACGGTTTGTTTTTGAACCACTATTTGCTCAGTTTGTAATTTTTTTTTCGGGGGGGTGCTGCGTTGGGTCTTTGTTTCTGCGCACAGGCTTTCTCTAGTTGTGGCCAGCAGGGGCTACTCTTCATCGTGGTGCATGGGCTTCTCATTGCAGTGGCTTCTCTTGTTGCGGAGCACGGGCTCTAGGCACATGGGCTCAGTAGTTGTGGCACTTGGGCTCAATAGTTGTGGCGCGCAGGCTCTAGAGCTCAGGCTCAGTAGTTGTGGAACACAAGCTTAGTCACTCCGTGGCATGTGGGATCTTCCCAGACCAGGGCTTGAACCCATGTCCCCTGCATTGGCAGAACCACTGCACCACTGGGGAAGCCCCTGTAATTTTACTAATAGTCTTACTGAGCTCAGGTACACACATGTGGCTCTAAGGGGAGCACTAAGTGTGGCTCTGAGCAGCTGTCCCCTCCCTCCGCCAGTGCTCCCTCTGGAACTTCTTGGGGCCCTGGGTGACCCCAACCTCTCAGATAAGGCTGTAGGGCTGTGTTAGTGTCCTGGGGTTGCTGTAACAAAGCACCATGAACTGGAGGCTTAAAACAGCAGAGATTTACTGTTTCTCAGTTCTGGAGGCCAGATATCCAAAATCAAGGTATGGGCAGGGTCATGTCCTCTATGAAACCTGTAGGGGAGGATCCTTCCTGCCTAGTCTAGCTTCTGGGCCCCAGGTATTCCTTGGCTGGTGGCCACATCACTCCAAACCTCCATATGGAGGGCAGGCAGCATAGGTGGACCCTCCAGAAACCCATGGGAAGGAGGAGTCAGTATGGCCAGTGGGTGTGGCCGCCTGGAAGCTGAGAGGCAGACTAGCAAGGGACGCGGCCAGGTGTGCGTCAGAGGGCGTGGCTTGGCGGCAGCTGGATGCCACAGTGTTCAGGCCTGGGGTCCTTCTCAGAACCCCACCCAGTGGACAGCTGGAGGCCCAGTTCTCTTGGGCTCACCACCTGTGTGCCCCTCAGCAGCTCTTGCACCTCATTTTTCTTGGTATCTAACATCCCTCTATTCACAGTTTTCAGTCCCTCTTTCCTCCTCACTCTACATCCTCTGCAACCAGGAGCCTCTGACCTCTCAGCTTAGCCCTGCCTCTCACTAAACCTCCCACCCTGTCAAGCTCACTTTGCTTCTTTGTAGATTTTTCCTCATGCTAGTTCCACGTGGGAGGACCTTTCCCCCATGTAGGAGGGAAGCTCTTCGCACTCTGCCAAGTACACTGTAACTGAATGAGTGCATAAAATGAAGTATGAATGAAACTAGATTTTGAGAACTGTCAAAGGCATTGACTTCTTGTAGCGTCTTTCCATGTGCTCAACGCAGACTGTCTGGGAGGGGGCTTAGTCCCAGGGGTGGTCTGCACCCCTGCCGCATCCTCCAGTCTTTGTCCTTTCTCTGAGCACAGGGGATAAGCAGCAGTTTACTTCCTGTTCATTTCAGATTCTACAATCGGGACCGAGAGTGAGCAGGCCTGTGAAGACATTGACCGTCTAAAATCAGAATCCCATGTGGTCATGGTCAAAACCCCGTCCCAGGACTTTCCCCAGAGTCCTGGCTTTGGAGACACCTCTGATCCCGAGGTCTGTTCAGAGATTCAGCCAACCTCCCTCTTCCAGAAAAACTGCTTGAATATAGGGACTGTGGCTCCCAGGGAGACCTTCGCTGAGGACGAGGCCCAGGGGTGTGGCGAGAGGGGGAGCGGTGGCCGCCTGGGTTGTCGACGTGATCAAAGTCAGGGGTCCTTGCGAAGATGTGACATCTGTGGTAGGAGTTTCCGATCTACTTCAGATGTCTCTCTGCATCAGGCAATTAATACACAGAAGAGACCTAACAGCTGCCAGGAGTGCCAGAAAAAATTACCTGATTGCTTACAGGGGAGACATCTGAGTACCTTGCATGGCGAGAAGCCATATGAGTGTGAGGAGTGTGGGAAGGTCTTCAGGTTGTGCTCACAGCTTACTCAGCATCAGAGGATCCATACTGGAGAGAAGCCGTTTAAATGCACCGAGTGTGGGAAGGCCTTTCGTCTGAGCTCGAAACTCATTCAGCATCAAAGGATTCACACTGGGGAGAAGCCCTACAGGTGTGAGGAATGTGGAAAAGCCTTTGGTCAGAGCTCTAGCCTCATCCACCATCAGAGGGTCCACACGGGAGAGAGGCCCTATGGCTGCCGGGAGTGCGGGAAGGCCTTCAGCCAGCAGTCTCAGCTGGCCAGGCACCAGAGGACCCACACGGGAGAGAGGCCCTACCCATGCCAGGAGTGTGGGAAGGCCTTCAGCCAGAGCTCAACCCTAGCTCAGCACCAGCGGATGCACGCTGGGGAGAAACTTCAGCTCCCAAGAGCCCCGGATAGTCCCAGCCTGGTTGCACATCAGAGGTTGCATGCTACCGAGAAACCGTTTAAGTGTGACGAGTGTGGGAAGGCTTTCCGGTGGGTCTCCCGCCTTAGTCAGCATCAGCTGACGCATACTGGAGAGAAACCTTATAAATGCAACAAGTGTTCAAAAGCCTTTGGTTGCAGCTCACGGCTTATTCGCCACCAGAGAACTCACACTGGAGAAAAACCATTTAAGTGTGATGAATGTGGGAAAGGCTTTGTCCAGGGCTCACACCTAATTCAGCATCAGAGAATTCACACTGGAGAGAAGCCCTATGAGTGCAGTGACTGTGGGAAGGCCTTCAGCCAGAGCTCAAGCCTCATTTACCATCAGAGGATCCATAAAGGGGAGAAGCCCTACGAGTGCCTCGAATGTGGAAAAGCCTTCAGTATGAGCACACAGCTCACAATACACCAGCGGGTGCACACGGGGGAGAGGCCCTATAAGTGCAGTGAATGTGGGAAAGCCTTCAGTCAGAACTCCACCCTTTTCCAGCACCAGATCATTCACGCTGGGGTGAAGCCCTATGGATGCAGCGAGTGTGGGAAAGCCTTCAGCCGGAGCTCGTACCTCATCGAGCACCAGAGGATCCACACTCGAGCCCAGTGGTACCACGAGTATGGGAATACTCTGGAAGCTTCTACCCACGTGAGCCGTAAGAAAGTTAATACTGTAAAGAAACTTCATAAATGTAATGAATGTGAAAAAATATTCAGATGGCGCTCGCATCTAATTATACACCAGAGAATTCACACTGGAGAGAAACCTTATAAATGTAATGAATGTGGCAAAGCTTTTAATAGGAGCTCAAGGCTTACTCAGCATCAGAAAATTCACATGGGATAGACCACTCACCTTTACGAATGTGTATAAATGTGAATAAACCTACAGCCTTAACTTATTATGGGATCATTTATACTGACGATTTAGAATGTTGTGAAAGATTCAGAATTGCTCTCTTAGGAGAGAGAGCATCCAGATTCACATGAGGTGTATGTTTATTTGCTGGCACGTTTGACCTTCAGTAAAGCCTATGTCCCTCACATCAAGGTGCACATGTGTAGCATTTCAGTTCACAGAGGGAAGACCCCAGGTCCTGTGGACGAGGAAGAGGCATGAGAAAAGCCCCGTGAGCCCCGCCAGACGAGTGGGTTGAAAGAAGTTACCCAGGACGTCTTCCTTAAGCACCAGGTACTCAGACTGGCTTCAGCAGCAAGATATGCTCACTCGTGTCCGCGGGGCCCCAGGCAGCGTGGCCGGGTCCCCCTCACCTGACTCCCCCGGCAGGGCCTCTGGGGAGGAGCTGGCTCCAGCATCAGTGCCCGGGCCCAGGGACAGTGTCACTGGCCCACCCTACATCCAGAGCCCAGCTGCTTCGGTTACAAGGATCAGACGTGCAGCCCTCACTGGGATTCCCAGCCCGGCCCTCAGCATTGCAGGAGCCTCACCTCAGTCCCGAGAACACCACCAGAGGCTGGGATGTGTGTTGTTGGCTGCTGCTGGCCAGACGTCCTCAAAACTCCAGCCACGGGGACTGCCCAAACTGGGGGGTCTGCGAGCAGACACACGAGCCCGTGCCTTCTCACAGGCCTGAGGACAGTGGAGATGCCTGCTCACCAGGATCAGTGTGTCGGCGTGGTCTTGTGGGCCCCACAGGTCCCAGGGCAGAGGGCCCCACAGGTGCTGAGCAACAGGTGCGCGTGAGCGAGCCTGCTCCGCCCACATCACCTCCTTCCTGGGTTTTCTCTGCCAGCCCAGCCTGGAGAAACAGCCAGGGTAGGGTGGTCAGGGCCCTTGGTTTCTTGGCACGGGTGGAAAGAATGTGCAGGGGAGATCACCGCTCCGTCCACCCCTCTGGTGAACCTGACTGACAGGTTGGGGCTGCGGACTGGCTCACAGAGCATCTCATCAAGGCCTGTGAGCCACAGGATGAGGCTGACATGTAGCATTGAGTCCAGCCCTGCTTGGGGCCCTGGACTCGGCAGTGGTGACTCGGGACCAGGTGTGTCATTTGCACAGGCTGCCACCCAGGACCACCCCCCGAGACCTGCCAATCTTTGGTGCCATTGCCAATAATCACAGGCCAAGGGCGGCCTGCCACAGAGAAGCCACTTCTCCCATGTACGGACAGGTGAACCTGAGGGACATAGATCACTTCAGGATTTATTGCAACACGACTCGGGTCACCATCACACTGGTTGGGTGAAGCCCAGATCGCCTTGTGCGACATGGCCCAGAAACAGCCCGTGGGTTTCTATCAGGGGAAACTGCTGCTCCGTGTGTACTGGAGGGCCTGGTGGGGCTGGGAACCCCAGGATTTCAGGGTGGCCGAGTTCACGTGAATTTTCATTCTCAGCACGTGGACAAGGACTCAGCCCCACGGCAGCTCAGCCTGATCTGCCAGTTCGCCTGACCAAAGGTATGACATGTTCTCAGGTTGCAGTGTTGTCTCTGGGGATGAGGATCATCCCCCAACCTGCACCTTCGGGGGTGTTCCCGCCCTGGGCGGAGGACACCATGTAGTCATTGTGCCCCTGCAGCAGCTGTAACCCCATCTCCCCGGCCGTCCCCTGCTCCACCCAGAGCTTGTGTCTGAAGGGTCAGTGCGAGAGCACAGGGACCTTTACAGACTGTGCAGAGATCATGTCCCCGCCTCGGCTGGTGTGCTCAACCAGGTGGTCACCGCCATCAGAGCCGGACAGGGTGGGCACATGTGAGTGGGCTGCATCTTAGGCTTTGTGAGCCACCCAAGGATGGGACAAGAGTGAGGGTCCCGGTGCACGTGCCACACGCGCCCTCCACTGGCGCCTGGTGCCATCATGTGCTGGAAGGGCCTCCCGAGGCCCCATGCTCTCGCCTTCTGGCTCTGTGAAGGCTGTTTGTCACTGGGTGTGCCGTCCCCACAAGGGATTTGTCTCCTGGCCACTTTCTGGTAATGATGGACAAAGGGGTGGAAGACCTCTGGACTCCAGGTTCTGCACTGGGTAGGATGCTTCTGTTTTCCCCTAACAGCACTTGCAGGCTGGCCAAAAAGGGCCAGAGGGGCCAACCTTAAATCTGTTTCAGCACCTGGATTCTTTCTGGATCAGCACGGTCCTAAGTCGGGCTGGCTGACTGTGTGGCCCGTGGGCCAAATGCGGACCTGTGCCCACATCTGTGAGGCCTGGTGATCAGCCTGAAGCCACTGGGACCTACACGGCCCCCAGAACCTGAGCCAGAGTCAGTCCTGTAAATGCACTCATGTCCAGGAACTCAATCACAGACAGCCAAGAAGTAAGGCAGCTTGAGCTGTAGCCCGTCTGACGCTCCGCCTTCTGGCTCCGCCTCCGAGGGCCCTGTGGGCTCCTGAGCGCTTCAGCTTTTGGTGCTGCTCCCGACCCATGGTTGCTCGGATCAGCGTCAGGGTTTTAATGTGCCTGCTTTTACCTTTTATCAGGCCACGAGCTGAGGGTGGGTTACGTTTTTACATGGTTGGGGGGGAAAGACTATTTTGTGACATTTGAAAATTATATTGAAATCAGATCTCAGTGTGACCAAATAAAGGTTCTTGGAATACAGCTGGCCCATTTGTTTGCCGGTTGCCTCTGACCGAGTGGCAGTCCTGCCTCGTTTACTTGGGTGAAAACTTCATGCCTCCAGCCTTTGAGGGATTATTTTTCCTCTCCTTAGTGTGCTTTGTTCACTTAAATGTCCCAGTACAACCAAGAATTCAATAGAAATACATCTCAAGCTCTGCATTCCAGTCTAGAATATCGACTGCAGAAGTACAGGGTGAGGAGTCCTTTCTTAGCTGAGTCCATGTGAAAAAGATGTGTAGTATTCGTGTGTCACCTGGCGAGACATTGTGAGTTCAAACTACTGCACAGGTTTGAGATCCCAGAGCACAGGAAAAGCATCTGCGCACATCATGTGTGCTGGTCACTTTGCAGGGAGGGAGAGGAGAGGGCTGCCTGCCGGGTAGTGCGAGTTCTGGACTATTCTGCTCTACTTTCAAGCTATAGCTCCCAATTTGGGGCTTCAGTAAATGCAACACTAAACTCATTTTAAGAATTTCCGGGAATTCCCGGGCGGTCCACTGGTCAGGACCCAGCTTTCACTGTGTGCGGGGCCAGGTTCAATCCTTGGGGAACTAGATCCCTCAAGACGCCCAACATGGCCCAAAAACAGAATTTCCAGAACTATTCCACAGTAGATTTTAAAATACTTTGGGTTTCTCTTTTGGAGACAAATTAAACCCCTAATTTTGACCTGAAATTGCTTTTCCTCTCAATTATCAGATTAAGCTTTGATTTATGACATTTTGAGCATTCTGGAAGCTTCACAAATAACATGGGGTGTGTGTGCAGAGCCCAGGTGGGTTTTCACATCCCTGTGTCCCCTTGTGTGTGTGGCTTGCACTCAGAGCCTGGGAAATGTTTGTTGAATGAATGAATGATGCATTTGGGGCACATCCAGGCTTTGAGGCGAGGCTTCAGAGGCCCACAGAAGAGAGAAAATTCTCCAGCAAAAAGAGTTTCCACAGAGATCTAAATAAGGTCAACACAGTTGTAATTTTCCAGGTGCAAACATCTGTACAAGGTCTTGTTCTTGCCTGGGAACAAAGGTGGATTGGGCTGGCCCCTGCCCTCAAGTCCAGGTCTGGGGTAGAGACTGACCGCAGGTGAAGGTGGATGGTCCCTCTGCAGCCTGAGGGAGCCCTGCAGGCGCACAGGGAAGTGTAGCACTTAGAGCCACCGCCCACCCCCCAATTGGTTTTGTACGGCCCTGGAGCTGAGAATGGGTTTTAAATGGTTGAAACAAATTTTGTGACGTGAACTTAAAATCTCAGTGTCCACAGGACATTTTTATTGGAACATGATTATGCCCATTGGTTTAGATGTCTCTGGCTGTTTCTGAGCTACGATGGCAGAACTGACAATCATTATGACCTGAAAAGCTAAAATACTCTCTGGCCCTTTAGAGAAAAGTTAGCCACTCTCGACGCAGGTGAGAAGGGCCACCACTGCTGGCCCACAAGCCTGTGACCCGCAGTTGGAGGGACCTTCTCAAGCTGGATCACGTCTGCCTCCCCGTACCCACGGTGAGGCCAGAATCTGTGAGCGGCCTGGAGGCTGGTGGCCCTCATCCCCTGGCTCTGTCCAGCCCCAGGAGCCAACAGTCCCGGGAACAGCCTGCTGCCCGTCTTCTCCGTCTCATGAAAGCCACTTACCACCTGTATGCCTTGTGTCACTGTTTGCCCATGTGTCCCTCCTTGAGACAGAAACATGAAGGCTCACAAATGAACAACCCAGAGTTTGCAGTATCAGAGCTGTCAAGAGCTCCTCCGAGGGCCGAGGCAGGGCTCTGCGACCCTCTCCTGGCTGAGCAGCTGGAGAAGCGGGGAAAAGGGCTGCCCCACAGCCGCTGTGGGAGGGGCAGCGCCGTCAGGGCCACCACCTCCAGCCTCCTGAGGATGGAGATAATGTTCTGGTCCTGACGTTCCTGACCAGTGACTTAAAAGGCACAGACGGTGCCTTCTGGGGGAGGGGGAGGGAAGCAGGTGAGCGAGCAGAGCTCTACACCCCCACTTGCTGGCTGGGACACCCCGAGGGTGGAGATGGGAGCAGATAGCGCGTGTAGACACGGTGACTTCAAGGGGCCCAGGGCCCTCCCAGTCTGCCGACCCTCCAGGGCGTAGACCAGCAGGGTGGACACACCCACAGGGCTGGGGAGACAGAGCCAGACAGCCCCCGCCAGGAGCACAAGGACAAGGGGGTCTCTGCCGCCTGATGGGCAAAAGGGTGTGCAAATCCTGGTGCTGACTCACGGGACTCCCAGCCTCAGTCGGAAAAGCACCCCTGCCTGCCAGGACAACCGAGAGGATGATGGGAGGGTCCCTCGGGAAGGGGGTGTGTGCGTCCCTGCCGGGCACGTGACTTAGAGCCACGGCGTCGCAGCCACGGGGCCACTCTGTGGCAGCAGAGCTCGGAGCACCTGCTGGGGCACGTCGGCCGGGCTCGGACCCCAGGTCTCCGTTCCTGGTTGCACTGGCCCAATTTCGCTGCGGTAACTGGCAAAACAGACGCCCCCAAGCCCGTGGCCCTCGACCCTAAACATGTGTCCTCACTCTGGACACAGCAGCTCAGGGCACAGGAGCCGGCACCAAGAGCCTGCCCTGCCACCAGGTTCGCATGCCCACAGAGTCGGCGGACTAAGGACAGGTGGGGAGGGAAAGCTGGCAGAGAACGGACTGCCAGCTCCCCCATCAGCTGTGTGTCGTTAGGCAAGACGCAAAGCTCTCTGCGCTTAGTCACCCGTGAGGCGGAGAGGCCTCGTGCCTGTGAGTTAATGAGTTAACACGCGCCCGGCAGAGGGCCTGCACCTGGTAGTTCCACCTGTACCTTCTCTGCGCTCGGCTGAGGCCTGGTCGACAGCGTCTGGCCTGTAGGGGGCGCTCGAGGTGGTGCTTTGGGTCGTTAGGGACATAATACCAAGGGCTTTAACATGATCACATTCTTTTAAAAAAAAAACTTTATTCTTCGCTGCGTTGGGTCTTCGTTGCTGCGCGCGGGCTTTCTCTAGCTGTGGAGAGCAGGGGCTACTCTTCGTTGTGGCACGTGGGCTTCTCATTGCGGTGGCTTCTCTTGTTGCAGAGCACAGGCTCTAGGCAAGCAGGCTTCAGTAGCTGTGGCACTACAGGCTCAGTAGTTGTGGCACACGGGCTTAGTTGCTCCGCAGCATGTGGGATCTTCCTGGTCCAGGGCTCGAACCTGTGTCCCCTGCATTGGCAGGAGGATTCTTAACAACTGTGCCACCAAGGGAAGCCCCTAAAATGATCACATTCTTTTTTTACAACACTGTGTTAAGAAGCCAACACAAAAGTCTACACATGGAATGATTCAATGGGGAAAGTGGTCACATTCTGCCTCCTCTGTTTCTACTTCTAAATAGTTTTAATATAAAATCCTTCTACCGTTTCCTATTGACATCAATGATTAAAAAAAATTTTTTATGGAAGTATAGTTGACTTACAATGTTGTGCTAATTTCTTGTGTACAGCAAAGTGATTCAGTTATACATACATATACATTCTTTTTCATATTCTTTTCCATTACGGTTTATCACAGGATATTGAATATAGTTCCCTGTGCTCTACAGTAGGACCTTGTTGTTTGTCCATTCATTATATACTAGTTTGCATCTGCTCATCCCAAACTCCCAGTCCTTCCCTCCCCCACCCCCACCCCCTTGGCAACCACAAGTCTCTTCTCTATGTGTCTGTTTCATAGATATGTTCATTTGTATCGTATGCATTTTAGATTCCAAACATGTGATATCATATGGTATTTGTCTGACTTCACTTAGTACGATAATCTCTAGTTGCATAACATCACTGATTTTTTTTTTTTGGGGGGGCCGTGTTGGGTCTTCATTGCTGCGTGTGGGCTTTCTCCAGTTGCGGAGAGCAGGGGCTATTCTTCATTGTGGTGCACGGGCTTCTCATTGTGGTGGCTTCTCTTGTTGCGGAGCATGGGCTCTAGGCGTGTGGGCTTCAGTAGTTGCAGCATGCGGGCTCAGTAGTTGCAGCACATGGGCTTAGTAGTTGCAGCACATGGGCTTAGTTGCTCCACGGTATGTGGGATCCTCCTGGACCAGGAAACGAACCCGTGTCCCCTGCATGGGCAGGTGGATTCTTAACCACTGTGTCACCAGGGAAGTCCTCACTGTGATTTTTAAAAATATTTATTTATTTGGTTGTGCCGGGTCTTAGTTGCAGCTCGAGGGCTCCTTACTTGTGGCATGCGAACTCTTAGTTGCAGCAAGCATGTAGGATCTAGTTCCCTGACCAGGGATCGAACCTGGGCCCCCTGCATTAGGAGCGCAGAGTCTTAACCACTTAGCCACCAGGGAGGTCCCAACATCAGTGATTTTTTAATCAAGAAAAAAAATGAAACACAGCAGTTGCTCTGGTCTGAATGTTTGTGTCCCCAAAATGTATATGTATATGTTGAAATCCTAATGCCCAGTGTGAGGATGTTATGAGGTGGGGCCTTTGGGAGTGCTTCGGTCATGAAGGTGGAGTCCCCCTGATAAGAGACCCCACAGAGCTCCCTTGCCCCTTCCTCCACGTGAGGACACAGAAGTCGTCAGCCAGGAAGAGGGCCTCACCCGCCCCTGCTGGCCCCCTGACCTCGGACATCCGGCCTCCGCACTGTGAGAAATCAATGTCTGTTGTCTTACAGGCTGCCTGGTCTGTGGTGCTTTGTTTGCCCAAGAAAAACTTGGCACGCCCACCCGGAAGATGCATGTTCTGCTGCCATTAGACAGACCCTCATATCAGGAAGAGTTACATGAACAGAGCTGTGTTAACACAGAGACAGCACAGAGCGTAAACGTCAAGTCCGGTCAAGACAGTTTCTCCATGACCGTCTATGGGCAAAGGAGCTTTTTGAATCTTTTTATTTTTTTGTTTGTTTTACATTTTTGGCTTTTCCAAACGTATCATAATGAGCACATGTTCCTGACACATGCCCAGTGGTCGAGGAAGACATCACAGCACAGTGACTGACAGGAAAGCCTCCATCACTGGTGGAGGCAGATGTGGTGCTCAGCTCACCTGTGCATGTTTCTGAGCAGGCCTGGGCAACAGCGAGCACAGCCCGGTCCAGCTCCTGTTCTCAGGGGACCAGAGCCCAAGGATGCCAGCTGACGCTGAAGGAGACCTGGGGAGTCTGCACTCCTCAGCTGAGCCAAGACGGGGCCCCACCTGCAGCCTGGCCTCTGAAGCTCTAGCTCCGAGCGCACAGCAGCACCTTAGGGTGGCCTCCTCTGTGCCCTTGGCCCACACCTAACTTGCTAGGACCCTCACTCAGGGAAAGGCCTTAATTAACCGAGATCATGGGAGTGTTCTGGAAACAGCATAGAGCAAACACTGCCGCTCTTGATGGGTCGTGACATGGAGCAGGGGGCAGGAAGGGGGCGCTGGGGAAGGGCAGGTGCCAGGTGGGCACCCAAGCTCATTTTCTGTTTTCAGAGGAGGTTCCTGCATGATGCTCAGGCCTATTAATACTACCAGACCTGTGACCTGGTTTCGTGGCAGACCATGGAGGCAGGGACACGCCAGGCCCCTACCTGGGGTGTGGTTATGCTGGAGGGTGCAGGGCTGGCCACGGGCTCTGCACACTCCCACCCTAGAGGCACCCAGGTGAGGCCCCTGCTCCCGTCTCCCCTGCCGCCGCCAACTCCACCAGACTCCCAATTCCTACCCTGCTGCCCTACGCTCTGCTATCAACACAGCATCCAGTGTGATCCTTTGAAAACAACTGTCACATCACACTCATTTCACTCAGAATTGAGCCAAAGCTCTTCGAGAGGCCCTCAGGGCTGCCCCCTGTGCCCTCCACTCACCTTGCCCCCACTTGGCTGCAGCCACGTGGCCTGTGCACCACAGGCTGCTCCCTCCGCCTCGCCTCCCTTAAGTCTTTGCTCAGGTACCATGTTCTCAAGGAGGCGCAACCCATGCCCTGATTTTTTTTTTTTTTTTTGGCTGCGTCTGGTTTTCGTTGCAGCGTTCAGGCTTCTTTCTAGTTACAGCGCACGGGCTCCAGAGCACGTGGGCTCTGTAGTTTGCGGCACGTGGGCTCAGCAGTTGTGGCACGCAGGCTTAGTTGCCCCATGGCATGTGGGATCTTAGTTCCCCGACCAGTGATCGAACCCGCGTCCCCTGCGTTGGAAGGGGACCACTTGACCACTTGACCACTGGGCCACCAGGGAGGTCCCCCCACGACCCAATTTAAAATGACAGCCCAGTTCTCCCACAGCCTTGCCCCCCGTCTCCAAAGGCTGCTCTACCTCCTGCGCCACTTCCCATCCTCCCACGAGCTACACCACTTGTTTGTATTATGCACTTCGTAATGCCTCCCTCGCCCCACTAGAATGCTCTCCATAAGGTCAGGGATTTAAGACAGGGGAATGAAATGTGCACCCTGAAGCACAGGGTTCCCCAAATCACAGGAGCAAGAGCTCAGTCGTTAGGTGGGGGCAGCCTGAGCAACCTCTGTGTCCTCACAAAGGCCTTGGCCTGGACCCCAGACTGTGACTAGACCACACATGGCCACACCGGAGCAGTGGGTACCCTTACCTGGCAACAAGACCAACTGACAGCTGGGGGGACGGGGCCTGCAGTTTGATGCCTACCCAGGAGAACATATTTTGTGTAGCTGCTTTACTTCCAAAAAGAGGGAAAGACACAGCTGTCTTCTTCACTTAGAGAAATGCACGATTATACTCAAACACTCACTGGAGTGCCTCCTGGGAAGGGCGGCCTTTGCTCTGGAGACACCTGTCTGAGCCAGCTATCCCCGGTGACCAGAAGGGGACTGGCGAGCAAGGCTCAGTCCCGCAGTTTGCGCTCGCACCTCTTCTCCAGGTCAGCCATCTCCTTCAGGACCATGGCCACACCGAACCGCAGCTCCTGGAACTTGGCCGTGGGGACCTCGAAGCGGAGGGCCGACCCATCCGAGAGCTTCAGCTGCATCAGGACGCTTGGCTGCAGGGAGCGGGCCAGGGCGCTGGTGGAGATGGCCACGTCCACCCTCCACCGAAAGTCAGCAATATGGGGCAGCCAGGCCCCCTGCTGCCTGGCCGCAGAGTCAAGGAGAGGCCGCTGGCTCCCAAACACCACACTGGCCAAGTCCACGACCAGGTCTTCGGGGATGCAGAGCTCCTGGAGCTGGTTCTTGAAGGCATCGGGCTTCAGGCTGGCCGGGGGCAGCCGGAGGGCCTGCTGGAGCAGGGTGTGTGTGCCAGCGATCAGGGCACCCAGCCGCTCCTCAGGCAGGTCTGCGCCAGCCCCGAGGCGCTGCACACCCTCACGGCAGTCTTCCCCCTGCAGGCTGCTGACCACCAGCTTCAGCAACTTTCTGAATGTGCCCCTGTCCAGGTCCCTCAGGAGCTGGGGCATTGCTGCCACCTCTGGAGGCAGCTGGGCGCCCAGGAAACTCATGCAGCCACTGTGACTGTCACCAGGGCGATGCAGGTGTGGAGCTGCAGGACCCATGGCAGACATCGCTGCTTCCTGCTCTTTGACCGGCAGCCCAGGTAGGAGGTCCCAGCCGCAACTGCCTGGAAGGGGGGTGGAAGAGAAGCCCAGTGACTCCCATGTCCTTTGGGCCAGTGAATGAGGACTGATATGGTCTCCACCTCCCAGATGCTGATGGTGTGAACCACTGATGACAGCCAGCATGACGGAAGGTGCCCTGGAAGCAGGTGGCGGAGGGGCCCCTCTCCAGTTCCTGGAAGAGGGGAGGCAGGAGCCGGCAGAAAAGGGAGATGAGGTGGGGAGGAGAGAAGGAAGAGAATCAGGAAACAGGAGAGCAACATAAGTTCTCCAAATAAATAACGGATTAAAGAATGAGGGAGAAGAAAGGTCCAGAGAACACAAGGACACAACAGCCACTGCCGCTGCCACTGACCGCTCCAAGATCACTCAGCTACGCCACCTCCAAGCCGCACACGGCTCTGCACGAGCGGGTTAACGTTCTCACCCCACCAACAAGGAAATCGAGGCGGAAACAACTGCTCAAGTCAAGGACTAGAACCCAGGCCCGTCCACTCAGAAGTCCCTGCAGCGGGGGGGGGGACCAGACGGCGTTCCTTAGGCAGGAAGGGCTGAGGTGCAGGTGTTAAGAGAGGTGGGTGCAGTACCTGGAGAAAAGGGCTAAGACGTCACCTGAAGGACAGCACGACCCCACGCTTCTGCAGGAGCGCCCGGCCCATCGCAGCCGCGCCAGGTGCCGAGCAGAGCTGTCCCCAGGGCGCCCCCACCCCTGGCCTGCGGGCCTCAGCGCGGCGGGCCCGGGCGCATAGGGAACTCCCCACCGGTTTCCTCGTACCCCACTCTCCCGGGAAGGCCGGGCCCCCTCACCCCGGCTGCCAACGACCACCCACGGGTTTTCCTTCAGGGCCTGGCCAGTATCGGGACAGCATTCCGCAGCCCCGCCGCCTGCCGCTCAGGCCCTGGTCCCTGGAGGCCAGCGCGCTGCCCCCCGGCCCGGAGAAAAGAGCGCCCCGAGGCGGCCACCCAAGCTCTTCCGAGCCGCCGCCCCGGCCGCGGTCAGTGCCCTGCGGTCCGGTCCCGAGCTGCCGGATCGGCCTCCTGCCTCCAGAGCGTTCGCCGCCTCGCGAGCAGGGAGACCCATACCCACCCCCGCTTCCCGCTGCGCCCCCGTACCTGGCGCGGGGTCCCAAGCGGAGCAGAAAGGCGCTCGCGGCCGGAAGCGCAGCCTGGTTCCCGGAAGCGCGGCCTGGTTCCCGGAAGCGACCTAGAGACCCCTGCCCCCTTCGGGGGGCACCTCTAGGACAGCGGGAGGACCCGCCCTCGGTGATCCGCGGCCTGTGGGGCGGGGCCTAGGCCGCCGGGTTGGTCTTACGGGTCCGACCGCGCAGGACACACTTCCGGTTGTCCTCCGCTCGGATGGCTGCTTCCTCGTTTGGACTCGAAAAGTGGGGGGTCTCCGCCGGGGTCTGGGGGCACGGGGGTGGGGGGCCTGGGGGTGGGGGGGTGCCCAGTACAGACCTTGGGCGGGGAGGCTCGCCTGCACAAAAATGCGCGCGAACTTTGCCTCTCAGTTGTTCACTTTGAATAGGTGATTTGATGGGATGTGCATTTATCTCCATAAAGTGGTATTTTAATGTCAGGGCTTCCCTGGTGGTGCAGTTATTAAGAATCCTCCTGCCAATTCAGGGGACATGGGTTCGAGCCCTGGTCCGGGAAGATCCCACATGCCACGGAGCAACTAAGCCCCTGCGCCACAACCACTGAGCTACTGAGCCTGCGCTCTAGAGCTCACAAGCCACAACTACTGAGCCCCCGTGCCAGAACTACTGAAGCCCACGCGCCTAGAGCCTGTGCTCTTCAACAAGAGAAGCCACAGCAATGAGAAGCCTGTGCACCACAATGAAGAGTAGCCCCTGCTCACCACAACCAGAGAAAAGCCCACGCACAGCAAAGAAGACCCAACACAGCCAAAAATAAAATTTTTAAAAAGGCTAAAAACAAAACGATATCTTTTCTAAATCCATGTGATCCAAAAGCAAGAAATATCAACTTGTAAAAGATAGCTATAGAAAAACCACAATACTTGCTTCTGTTCCCATACTTATTAAACAAATTCCAGGGAGTCAGGAGAAAAAGGCAGCCCTTTTCTTCCATTTATCCTGAATTTTGTTCTCTTTTTGCCCATTTCCCTCCCATAAAATATCCAGGGCCTTCCCTTTCCCTTACTACCTTCTTCAACTTCTGTTACCTAGAAGCTTGAAGAAACCAGCCTATCACTAAGTCCAATTTTCTGACCATTAATTTATAAGCTTTTAGCAAATAACTTGTCCTTTAATAATTGTAAGTCAGAATTTAAAAAATCAAATTAAATGTTCAACTTAAGCTAGACAAAAATACCAAACCTAAAGGAAGTAGAAAGAAATAATAAAGAGAAAATGAACTGGGACTTTCCTGGTGGTGCAGTGGTTAAGAATCTGCCTGCCAATGCAGGGGACACGGGTTCAAGCCCCGGTCTGGGAAGATCCCACGTGCCGCGGAGCAACCAAGCCCTGGCGCCACGACTACTAAGCCTGTGCTCTAGAGCCCACGTGCCTAGAGCCCATGATCCGCAACAGGAGAGGCCACCGCAATGAGAAGCCCGTGCACCGCAACAAAGAGTAGCTCCCACTCACCGCAACTAGAGAAAACCCATGCGCAGCAACGAAGACCCAACACAGCCAAATTAAATAAAAATAAATAAAAACAGGGAATTCCTTGGCAGTCCAGTGGTTAGAACTCGGCACTTTCACTGTCGGCAGGGTTCAGTCCCTGGTGGGGGAACTAAGATCCCTCAGTGGTGCGCCAAAAAAAAAAAAAAGGAAACAGAGTGGATGAATAAATCCAAAAGCAGATTCTTTGAAAAAGACACCAAAAGCACATGACAAAACAAAACTAGAAATATTGGACCACATTAAAATTAAGAACTTTTGTGCTCCAAATGATACTATCAAGACAGTGAAAAGACAACGCACGGAAGTGTGAAAATATTCGAAAACCATATATTTGAAATAAGGGACTTGTATCCAGAACATATAAATAACTCTCACAATTCAACAGTAAAAAGATAAATAATTTAAAAATTGGAAAAGGATTTGAATAGGTATTTGGGCAAAAAATATATACAGATGGTCCACAAGCACGTGAAAAGATGCTCAACATAATTAGCTCTCAGGGATATGCAAGTCACAACCACAAGGAGATACGCCTCGCCGGGCCTAGACGGACAGTAACTAGGGCTGGAGACTCGAGCCCTCAAGGGCCGCAGTCCCAGCGGATGCAGGATGAGACCGGATCCCTGGGAAAGTTTGACACGTGCTCGAGAAGTCAGCCTGGAGATACAGGATTTTCGTTCCCACTGAGCTGCGTTCTGAGGGGCTTCCCTAGACCGAGCATATCGCGGAAGCCGCCTGGGCCATCTCCGCCTCCGCAGGCCCAGCTGCCCTTAGCTGAGGGGACCTCAGTCACATCCGCCCTTAACCAACATCAGACGGCTGCCCGCGCCTTGCGGAGACCCGGACGCCCCCAAGAGGCCGAGCCCACCCGCGGGACTGGCCGCACCGCCGGAAGTAGTCCCGGGGCGGGGCCTGCGCGTACGCCCTCGAGTCGCTCTAGGACGCAGGGAAGACCGTCGACTCTATGGTGCTCGGCGTCCCGCCCTCCTCGGTCCGCTGTGGCAGAGGGGCTGGGGAAACCGAGGGTTGGAGAGCGGGGTTCCGGGCGGGGTCCCGGCGGTTCTCTTTCAGCCCTTGACTTGGGGATCGCTAGGCCCCAGCATCGTGAGCAGTGGCGGCTGCCGCAGGGTGGAGGCGACTTGGCCCCAGGGGACGTTCCCCTGCGGTCGGTCCAACGGAGGCGGGCACAGGGCTGCTTATTGGCTGGTGAGGCGGGCGGCCGACGGGAGTCGGCTAACGAGGCCTCCCGGGTGGGCCGGGTTCCGAGTGCAGGGCCTGCCGAGCGTAAAGGAGTCGCGCGGGCTGCGATACAATTGTAGGCGTGGGACGGTCGCTGACTCCACTGAGGCACTTGATCACCCAACTTGAAGAGGCCCTGGTCCCCTGGGGCTTGTTAAGGTCTGCGCAGATGACGAGGGAGGCGGCACCCTGGGGTCTGAGGACTGTAGGGACGGTCCTTGGTGGCGGGGACCCTCATGGACCAGCTGGGGTCTGTGGAGAGTCAGAACTACTTTTGGTAGCCCTTGGGAGGGCTTCTGGGTGGCTGTGGCTAAAGATAAAATGCACAGCACGAGCCGAGGAGCTGTAAGTCAGAACCTGGGCCTTGTCACTAACTGAAGGAAACAGTTATCTCCTAAGCACTCAGAGCTCATAGAGATATTGCTGCCCGTTGGGCATGAACCTGGTAAGATCCACGTGATGAGAACAGTATCTGACATTCATTGAGTACCTGCCACGTGCCAGGTTGTGCTGAGTGCCCCACACGCACCAGGCAGGTATTAACATCACCATCTTACAGATAAGAAGACTAAGGTTGGAGGTTACACAGATTGTCTATGACTGCATACTAAGTGAATTCAGATCCATCTGTCCGGCCCCAAACCCACGCTTCTGTTATTCCCCCCAGGGACTCACAGTGGGTGCGGTTGGGCTTCTGTGAGGACAGATGAGAGACTGCAGGTGTGCTACCGAATAGTTTGGAGTCACTCTAAAGCTTCATCAACCCTAAACTTACTTCCCAAAAGGGCAAGAGAAATGACTTTAACTCAGCAGAAACTTGTTCACTCATTAGAGGAAGTCTGAGGAAACCTCCATTCCGCTTAGACTCCAAGCCTCAGAGGAAAAAAGAAAGTGGACACGTGAAGATCCGGATGTGTGCAGACGCCACCCAGGCACTGTCTGGGAGACCTGTGGCCAGACAGCCGAGGGCAGTGACCACATCTGTAGTCTGATCCCTACAATGGGGATGGAAACAGCAGCTGTCAGTGCTTGGAGCCACTGAAATTTGAATCTTAAGACCCACTCCCAGATCTCCCAGCTTCCCCTGAAACTTGTGTTCAAAGAGGGCTGCATTCCTGGCAGCAGCACTGGTACCACTGACAATGGATGGGCCCTTGGTGGGTTCCCCTGTGCCCTGGCTCTCTGCTCTTCTGTGTCCACTTCCTGGAGGACAGGGCACCTGATCTCAGCACCAGGGCAAACCTGAGGAGCAGACCAGGGTTGGTGAGCCTGTCTCTGGACAGCCTCCCTCTGGCTCCCTAACCACAGGGGCCCCACTCCGCCACAAGCTGCACGAGAGCTTCTCTACCCTCAAATCCTACGTGAAGGAAATGGATCATGAGGTTTGGGTGATCAAGAAACTGATTTACAATCTCTGAGGAACAGAGAAGCCTCTATATTATGCCCGGGATACAGCTGAGATGAGCCTCACCGAGCACCTCTCCGGATCCCACACAGTCCTCATTCCTGGATGGCCTGAAGATTAACTCTGAAGCCCTCCTTGACGATGCCTCGTTCCTCAAAACCTGCAAACGCTCCACGGCCTCCAGGACAGAGCCCATAGTCTCCAGGAGACAAAAAGCCAGGCCCTGCCAGCTCCAGAGTCACATTCCCATCTTTGCTATGTTGCACCTTTGCTTGTGCAGCTTCTGTCCCCTTGTGCCGTCATCCCACCGTCTGCAAGGCAGTTCCACTCCTCCTTCATCAAGCCTTCCTGGCCTCTACCACTGCCTCCACCGCACTCCTGTGTTACCCCCAACAGGACCCGAGGAAGCACCTGACTGGCTGCGTCTCCCTCTCCCCACGAGGAGCCCACAGTTGAGGACAGGACTCAGAAATACCCCTTCCCGTTCCCTTCTTGACCTGTGTGAGGCAACACCTTGCTCCTCCCCCCAGGCCTGACAATGGGGAGCCCCTGGGCCGGCACCCTGCTGGCCTTCATCTGCACCTCCCGACTTCTGAAGACCCGGTGTTCCTGGCTCAGCCTGGTGGGAAGGAGGTCTGGGTGGCTGTGCCTCACACCTGTTCCTCTCAGGCCTTCCTCCTTTCCCCTTGGATTGGGTCAACTTGGGAAATCTGATTCAAAACTTTTTTTTTCTCATTAAACCTTGTTTTAACGGGTCTCAAAATTCTGTGACAGAGTTTTGGTCCAGTTGTTTCCATTAAAAAGTTCTGATTTGGGGACTTCCCTGGTGGTCCAGTGGCTAAGACTCCACACTCCCAATGCAGGGGACCCAGGTTCAATCCCTGGTCAAGGAACTAGATCCCACGTGCCGCAACGAAGATCCCGTGTGCCGCAGC